ATGCTTGAGAGAAGTGCAGCGCTACATCTGTAGCATCTTAGCTTAGCAGTAACTGTGACGCTTTAAACAAACTTGGTGAGAAACATCCTTTAAATGTGTGGAATTAAAGGAAATCTGTGAAATGCTGCTTTTTTTGTTCACTAGTGAACACATTTTTTTTTTTTTTACACGCGCGCACACACACACACACACACACACACATCATTGTGGCCCCCCACTTCATGGATGCTTCTGACGCCCTTGCAGCAAACAATGGTACACTTCGAATGCACCTCTCAGTTTTAAGACGAGCTTAGAGTGAAAATTCTTCTCCTACATGAAGTTTTCATACAGGAGAACCACAAGAAACAAAGCCACAAATGCTTCTCATGATGGAATGATGACAGAAGGTCAAGACTCACCAGCAGCATGCCTGTTTGTGTCAGCGTTCAGCTTCGACTGCGAGCAGCTTCTTCAGCTGTTTACTCCCCACGAGTGTTTATACCCCCCCACACACACACACACACACACACACACACACACACCCCGCAGCCGCTCTGAGCTGCAGACATGTGTTTCCGCCGTGTCTTTCACGGATTCAGAGATATCTCCTTTCTTTTTGGGGACCTCTGGTCGTCCTGCACCTGAAGCTACACAAAGTTCCCCCAGTCACAGATTTCAAGGTGACACCTCCAAAAGTGTCAACAAGCTTTTTATGTCACTTCCTCCCACTTTGATGGGAAAAACTGTTTTTGTAGAAGAAAGGTGAAACTTTTCAGAGTGAAAATTGCAACTCAAGCTGGAAAGAGTTTGGTTTCCAAAGCAGACTTCAGGTTCTCTTCTTTTTGTTTCTTCTCAGGAGAACGCCCACAACTTGAAACTGACTCCAGCAGAAGTGCAGCTGATCAAAGGATCACTTTCAGAAACAATCATTCTGAGCTGTCGCCGTTTTTATTTTAACTAGAGAAACTGCACTTCCTGCAAAAATGCAGTGCTTATTTCAGAGGAACTAATTGCTGAAAAACACATGAAATGTAGCTGAAATGGAAGAACGAGCCTAAATTAGCAGAAAAAAGCAGAAAAAAGCATTTGCTGAATTAGGTTTAAATAAGCAGAAATTAGCACAAAAATGAGGAAAGTAGCTAAAAAAGTTGATTAGGAAAAAAAAATGCCTCAAAAGCAGCTGGAAGCTGAAAGAAGTTTAAACTACCAGAAGGAAGTGGAAGGAGCTGAAATGAGCTAAAAAAAAAAAAAAAAGTGGAATTTGCTGAAAACGCTAAAAATGAGTAAAAACAGCTAAGCTAGCAGAAACTAGCATAATTAAGCTGAAAGCAGCATAACAAGCTGAAATTAGCAGGAATAAGTTAATTAGGCTGAAAGTAGCTGAAATTTATATGAAAAACTCAATGTATCTGAAAACAGCCAAAAACTAAAAAGTTAGCTAAAGTGGTAGAACAAGCTTAAATTAGCAGAACAAACACATTTGCTGAAATTGGCTTAAGTAAGCAGAAATTAACTCAAAAATTAGGAAAGTAGCTAAAAGGCTGAAATTGGCAAAAATAAGTTAATTAGGCTGAAAGTAGCAGAAATTGCCACAAAAAATTTTAATTTATCTGAAAACAGCCAAAAAGAAAAAAGTTAGCTAAAAAGGTAGAACAAGCTTAAATTACCAGAAGTAAGCAGAAAGAACACACATTTACCCAATTCAACTGAAAGAAGCTGAAATGAGCACCAAAATTGGAAATGAGCTGAAAAAGTTGAAATTAGCAAATTTTACAAAAAAGCTTAAAAGTAGCTAAAAAGGCAGAAAGAAGCTGAAATTACAACGACGAACTGGAGAGAGCACATTTTTGATGGATTAGTCAGGAAAAAGTTGTAAAGAAGAAAAAGAAATGTGGAATTAGCTGAAAAAGCTAAAATTAGCATAAAACTGCTAAATAGTAGCTGAAATAGTAGAAAAAATTGAAATCTGCAGAAATAAGCTGAAATTAGCTGAAAGAAGTTAGAAGAAGCACAACATTGTTGTAGTTAGCACAAAGAATATGAAAGGATCACAAAACAGCTGAAAAATCAGCTGAAAGTATCTGGAAAAACGTTTACATTTGCAGAAGGAAGCTGAAAGAAGCTGAAGCAGAACAAAACATGAAAGGAGCAGTAAAATATTGTAAACAGATCTAAGGATTTTAAGGATGTAAAATGAGCTCAATTCATTTTTTATGATGAAAATAAAATGCAGAAAAGGCTAAATATTTCAAAAAGCTAAAGTTGCACCAATACCAAAAGTCATAGCAGGATTGTCCTGAAAGAGATGAACGTTTTGATTTATGATTTGTTGAAATATATTGAAAACTGTGGGCCGAGAACAAAGCTGAAAAATGTACAGAAGGAAAATGGATCACATTAGTTGCTTCATAAACATGCACACAATAACTGACTCATTTGCAACATTTCACACCTACACACTGAGCACAGACCGAACGATGTAGGTCAAGGAAACGCTGACAGGGTTCTGGTAATAAATCAGCAGAAGTCCAAAGGCAGACGTGTTGATGGCATCTTCTCGCCTCGAGCTCCGTTTCAATAAGGAGAAGACCAAAGAGCCGAGGTGTAGCTGTTGTGTGGTCACCCAGAACCAGTCCAACAACATGAGATAAAATCTAATTTAGGGTGACACCGGAACAACAACAGGCTGTTTATGTGAATAAATAGAACTTTAACTAAAGTTTGGTTCAGTTCCTGAGGTTTGTGGACTCCAGAGCAGAAAATCATTGGATTTTAAAAACTGATTAGATTTATCTCATTTCTACAACAGAAACACAAGACATAAATTTGTTCAATAAAATAAAACATAATTTCTCACAAATGCTGACTCAGCATTCACATTACTTTTTTTCCTTCAGTTTTTGTCATCTAACTACTTCTGCTGTACAACTACTTTGTTATTCTAAAACAAAATGTTCAGCTCAGTGAGGAAATGTGATTTTGTTTTCTATAACTTTATACTTTCTAAAATGTTTAACTTCATCTACACGTATTTTACCTTTAGAAGCTGTCGTGTTTGGTATGAATAGAAAACTCAAAAACGCTGAACCAAACTCAGAGAGGTAAACAGATAGAACTGATTTATTTACAACAAAAAAAAACAAAAGGCTGACGATGCAGCAAAAATACTAACTAGAAAAATCAGAGGAAGGACTCGAAGGGAAAAGAAGCACAACGCATGGACAAAAAATAAGAAAAAGAACATGAGGGAGACATGACACCTGAGGAGAGACAAGGAGGATCAGGTGAGAGTGGGAGGAGCTAAACTACAAGGGAATCAGAATTAGAATAAGCCTTATTATCATTCAAAAAGCGTTCAATGCAAAAACAACTGGACTTTTCTTCTTTTTTCTTGACGTTTCACATCCGAGGAGCTTTCTCAATTCAAAGAGCAGAGAGTGAGAGATTCAGGTTATAAGGCTGAGTGAGATAAGGGGAGTGGTGGCGCAGAGGTTAGAGAGGTGGGCTTGTGATCCAAAGATCGCCGGTTCACGTCCCGGCCCCGACAACATCAAAAAAATTGTGGGTGGGGTAGGTGAAACACCCACACTTGCCCCCACCCTCATTCGCCCCACTCTGGGCCCATGAGCAAGGTCCTTAACCCCACCATGTGCTCCCTAAACAGGTCTCTCTTGAAAATGAGTTCTCGTGGCTCAATGAGACTAACCTGGATAAATAAAGGCTAAATGAAAAAAAAAATAAAAAATAAGACACACACATATGTAGATTGGCAATTCACACATAAACACCTTAACAGTAAGAGTCTTTTGTTCCTCTAATTCACAGATGAGGCCCCTCTGTTCCCATCAGGTGTGAAAACCGGCTGGGAATCCGTTTTAAAGTTGCATTATAGGTTTTTGAAAGTGAAAATCTGAGGCCTCCTCCTCTGTTAAGAGACGATTTTTCTCTTTTTACATAAATTGCTTCCTTCACCCCCCTCTCAAACCATCTGTGTTCTCGGTCCAAAATTTGCACATTTTGGTCCTCAAAAGAGTGTCCCTTATCTGTGAGGTGGAGGTGAACAGCTGAATTTTGTCCAGAGGAGGTGGCTCTCCTGTGTTGAGCCATACATCTGTGAAGAGGCTATTTAGTTTCTCCAATGTAGAGGTCTGGACAGTCCTCGCTGCACTGGACCACATACACTACACCACTCTGTTTGTGTATGGGTGTTTTGTCCTTAGGGTGGACCAGCCTCTGTCTGAGAGTCCTGCTGGGTTTGAAATGTACTGGGATCTTGTGTTTGTTGAAGATCCTTCTGAATTTCTCTGATACTCCAGCAACATAAGGGATGACAATGTTTTTCCGTCTGTTGTTCTCCTTTTTCTGTTTATTGGTGTGTTTTGTAGATTTCCTCGCTGACTTGACAAAAGCCCAGTTAGGATATCCACATGTTTGAAGAGCTTCTTGAATGTGTTTCTGTTCCTTTTCCTTACCTTCTGTCTTCGTGGGGACGCATTCAGCCCGATGTTGTAAAGTTCTGATGACAGAGAGTTTGTGTTCCAGTGGATGGTGGGAGTCAAACAGAAGATACTGGTCTGTGTGGGTTGGTTTCCTGTAAACTTCAATGTTGAGGCTGTCCTCTCTTTCCATCTGAACCAAACAGTCCAAAAAAGGCAGCTTGTTGTCGTTTGCATCCTCTCTGGTGAACTTGATGTTGTTATCGACCGAGTTGATGTGCCTGGTGAACGTTTCTATTTCCTTGGCTTGGATTTTGACCCAGGTGTCATCCACATAACGGAACCAATGGCTTGGCTTAGTTCCCTCATAGGAGTTTAGGGCTCTCTGTTCCACTTCCTCCATGTAGAGATTGGCAACAATGGGTGACATTGGAGATCCCATGGCACAGCCGTGCTTCTGTCTGTAAAAACTGTCATTGAACTTGAAATAAGTGGTGGAGAGGCAGAGATCCAACAGGGTGCAGATCTGGTTGAAGTTGGTCCTGTTGATTAAGTCCTTGTCTTGTAGAAGTTGTTTTCTGACGGTTTCTACTGCTTCAGAGATTGGTATGCATGTGAAAAGAGAAGTCACATCATACGATACAAGGGTTTCTCCTGGGGTTAGTTTCAAGTGTTGAACTTTGTTAGCAAAATCAATGGAGTTCTTTATGTGATGAGGTGTGTTTCCAACAAGAGGAGCTAAAATACCAGCCAGATGTTTAGCAATATTGTATGTCACTGAGTTCATGCTGCTGACGATGGGTCTGAGTGGTGTTCCTTCTTTGTGTATTTTTGGAAGTCCATAAAGACAGGGAGTGGCTTCCCCTGGGTACAATCTATAATACAACAATCGATTTTCTCCTTTCCAAGTTTTTGCAGGTAATCTGTGACTTTCTTTTTATAGGTGCTGGTTGGGTCCCTCTTCAGGGTCTCGTAGGTGTTACGGTCGCTCA